AAAAATAGTTCTTGATTTTTGGAATGTTCACTTTCTGGGTAAACAGATCCACTTTGAATATTGTTACACTACAATCTTCCTGATTGCAATTTCTCCCTTTTGACTTTATGCAACATGAAAAGAAGCTTAGTCTTTTTGTCATTGTAAGAGTTATTTAAATGACTGAACACATCCTTTCTATTACTTTTGGATGATAGAATCTACAGACTTCTTCATGTATAAAATCCATAAGCCAAAAGAAGTGATTTTTTTTTTAAAACAGGTGATTAATTTATTGAACAGCTTTGCTCATTCGCAACAATATGAGCTGAACATACCATTCTCAGTGATTCATGTAATACAAGTGATTCCATATCTTATATGGAAATGTCCTCTAATTCTGTCCACTCTGAGGAAAAGGACACTCACACTAAACCCTCCTGATATACTAGAACACATCAGCAATATATTTAAGCATTTTTGAGAACTTTTACATTTTAAAAAAGTTGAAGTTTCTAATGAGGAAAGAGGGCTTGGAATATTTGAAACTCACAGGACAGATTGAAGGCAAAAGAGACAAAAGCAAAACAAGGCATCATCTATGTAGTAAGCTTTGGTAGATGAATGGCAGAAAAAGCTTTAGGAATGATAATAAAAAGACAAAATTAATTAAGAGCTACAAAGGACAGGAAATTGTGGAGATCCATGATTGCCAGCATCCTGATGGTACATGGCACATAGAAGAGTCAGCTTTAAAAAAGCAACATATATTATGACTGCATTTCTCAAGACAACAAATTAAGATTATTAATTCATAACCATTTATAAAATACCTAAATATCTTTAGGTTACAATTAATTTTTGAACTAGTATTTCTTTCATCTTCATTTTACTTGCTTTTCATTGCATCTCCTCAGACCTTCAGTCTATGGCCATCAGTAAACAAAAAGTAATATTATCTTGAATTTTATTAGATGAAGCATTGTCAGGCATTATTAATTTTTGACTAGTATTTCTTTCATCTTCATTTTACTTGTTTTTTCATTGCATCTCCTCAGACCTTCAGTCTATGGCCATCAGTAAACAAGTAGTAATATTATCTTGAATTTTATTAGATGAAGCATTGTCAGCCATTATTAATTTTTGACTAGTATTTCTTTCATTTTTTCATTTTACTTGTTTTTCATTGCATCTCCTCATTCAGTCTTTGGCCATCAGTAAACAAGTAGTAATATTATTTGAATTTTTATTAGATGAAGCATTGTCAGCCATTATTAATTTTTGAATAGTATTTTTTCATCTTCATTTTACTTGCTTTTCATTGCACTTTCAGTCTATTGCCATCAGTAAACAAGTAGTAATATTATCTTGAATTTTTATTAGATGAAGCATTGTCAGCCATTATTAATTTTGACTAGTATTTCTTTCATTTTCATTTTACTTGTTTTTCATTGCATCTCCTCAGACCTTCAGTCTATGGCCATCAGTAAACAAGTAGTAATATTATCTTGAATTTTTATTAGATGAAGCATTGTCAGCCATTATTAATTTTTGACTAGTATTTCTTTCATTTTCATTTTACTTGTTTTTCATTGCATCTCCTCAGACCTTCAGTCTATGGCCATCAGTAAACAAGTAGTAATATTATCTTGAATTTTTATTAGATGAAGCATTGTCAGCCATTATTAATTTTTTTGACTAGTATTTCTTTTCATCTTCATTTTACTTGTTTTTCATTGCATCTCCTCAGACCTTCAGTCTATGGCCATCAGTAAACAAGTAGTAATATTATCTTGAATTTTTATTAGATGAAGCATTGTCAGCCATTATTAATTTTTGAATAGTATTTTTTCATCTTCATTTTACTTGCTTTTCATTGCATCTCCTCAGACACTCAGTCTATTGCCATCAGTAAACAAGTAGTAATATTATCTTGAATTTTTATTAGATGAAGCATTGTCAGCCATTATTAATTTTTGACTAGTATTTTTTCATCTTCATTTTACTTGCTTTTCATTGCATCTCCTCAGACACTCAGTCTATTGCCATCTAAACAAGTAGTAATATTATCTTTTTTATTTGAAGCATTGTCATTATTAATTTTTGACTTTGTATTTCTTTCATCTTCATTTTACATTGCATCTCCTCAGACCTTCAGTCTATGGCCATCAGTAAACAAGTAAGTAATATTATCTTGAATTTTTATTAGATGAAGCATTGTCAGCCATTATTAATTTTTGACTAGTATTTCTTTCATCTTTCATTTTACTTGTTTTTCATTGCATCTCCTCAGACACTCAGACTATGGCCATCAGTAAAAAAAGTAGTAATATTATCTTGAATTTTATTAGATTTGTCAGCCATCAGACTACTATTTTTTTCATTTTCTTGCATATTTAGTAATATAAGCAGAGTTTCAATGATTTGCCTTGATTTTCTCCCATTGGAATTATGGTTCTTGATGGTCATGTTGTTGTTTTTTCAGTAAGATGTTGTTTATTTAGCCTACAGGTAACATCCATCTTGTACTCTTAAGTTGGAAGACTATTAGCTGCTTCATGGCAAGTCCTCTGTGTTCAAAAATGTCAAATTCCATTTTCTTCCATGATGATAAATTTCAGTTTTTGTTTCAAAATCATAAAAACACATGAAAAACATAGGCAGGTTTGTGAACAGTAAAATACACTCATATTTTTTGTGCTTCAGCTATTTCTGTTGATCCAAAAGTGTTTTCCTCTGAGTTCAATCTATGGTGCGTTGATAAAAACTGCAAAATAATTTATCGCCATCATGTTAAAAATTATCACAGAAAGTTGGCTCTTCACCTCTGTATTTTGCTGAAAGTGTACACCCTCCAAGTTTGCTAGCTTTTCATTTACTCATCATGGAAGATAATCAAACTGGCATTTAATTACTAAATCAACAACAATTATTTTTACTACTCTTGATGGCATGTGTCACGCTATTCATATTCTAACATTGCATGTGGGTATTTGCCCTATGGCAACCAGCAATGACCAGTTTGGCCAGGTTAATATCATGAAATAGGTTATGGCAAATTTATGCAAAATAATGATTCTGTTGAGTTTCTGCACACGCATTTTACATTTTACTATTAGAATATTTTATTTTTTAGTAGCCAAATTTGTGTTTTCTGTTTTCTACTTTATTTCCGTGGTTTTTTTTCTGTCATGGAGAATTTGCTACTTTAGTTTAAACTTATTTAGTCATGCAGACTGATGGAAGCAGCACAGGAAAGCATGCCAAGGTTCAATAATGCAAATATATTTGGCCTTATGACAATAGCTTTACATTTGATTCAAATGTTTCATTTCTCTTTCTTAAAATCTGTAATACTGGGATAAGTCCTTCATTTCAAGATTCTTATTATTTGAAGAAAGTTTGATAAAAGAATTTTATTCTCACTTTCATTTTATTCAGATTCGCTGATTGTTTTTATTTTGTATCAATCTATTTTCTGAGTAGAAAAACTTTTGTCCAACTGTTTTCTAATCTGACCAATTGGTTCTGTTTCTCTCTTTCAAAATCCAATCGTTTTCTAATCTGACCAATTGGTTCTGTTTCTCTCTTTCAAAATCCAATCGTTTTCTAATCTGACCAATTGGTTCTGAGCTTTCAAAAACAATTTTCTAATCTTTGGTTCTGTTTCTCTCTTTCCAAATCAATCGTTTCTAATCCCAACCCAAGCAAAACATTTTAAATTGCTTCTGTTTCTCTCCCTCCAAATCCTTTAAAAATCCTACAATCTCACCTTATTTTTGTCCAACCATCATTTGGTGAAAATGGTTTATTTATTTTGTGTTTCTGTCAGCCCTTGCTGTCAATTTAAAGCTTGTCATCTGACTTTTGAATTTGATCCAACTTTTTTCTTGTTTACACTTTATTTGCTACTTTACTTGTAAGTGTATTTTAAGTGTGACAGAAGTGTTGTATTCTTATTTATTATTACGTGTGTTTAAATTTGTTCACTTGTTAAAACTCTATGAAACTGACACTTGTATTATTAAAAGGATAATTGGGATTTAATTAATGAATATTTTCCCAACATTTCCTCTTTTATGCCTGAGTAGGAAGAATTTTAAGTTTTTTTTTGTTTTTTTTGTTTTTTTTGCATTTAATAACAGTATGACAGTATTTGGAGTTCTAAAGAATTTAAGTCTATTTTGTCTATCACAAGGCTACAGTTATAAAGCACCCACAGAGAATAAAAAATTAGTACATTATTTTATTAGTCTGTGACACATACTTGCTAATTATCATTCTATAGGAGGTGATTTTTAAAGTTATGTAGCTGTAGCATGTAATGAAGGAAGAATACTTGGAGAATTTAATACTCACAAGGCACTGCAGAGGCAAGCAGCAAGTTACTTCCTTGACAAGTTTGAGCAAATGTATGGAGGAATAAGTTTCCATAAGCAAGTGCCGTTAATGGAGGAATAAGTTTCCATAAGCAAGTGCCGTTAATGGAGGAATAAGTTTCCATAAGCGAGTGCCGTTAATGGAGGAATAAGTTTCCATAAATGAGTGCCGTTAATGGAGGAAGAAGTACCATTAATAGAGAAAGAAGTACCTTAAGTATAACGTGAGACCCTAAAGAATGAAGAATTGTTGAGAGAACAAGACACTCAGAGAAAGGCACTTAGATTAATCTCGCCCAAGACCATAGTATTGGAGCATTCAGTATAGAACTTTGAAAACAAGGAAAGTAATCTGTGAAAAATACTTGTTAACCATCAGATTAAAGTATGGATTTTGCCCAGTTATTCATTTAATGTAGTCTGGCACTAGGCCATAATTGTAGTTCTCTTGATGAGAACTGAAATAACAAAATTGTTGAATTCTTTTCTGTGATAGTTTTGTAAATATTTCCCCTACAGTAAGCACTCTTCATTCATCTTACGTTCATAATTACAATCTATTGAATTAAACTTGTTAACTGTTTTCACTTGAAAAACTATGATTCTCTTTTTTTTCTCTCTCTCTCTCTCTCTTTTTTTCAGCAATCCGAATCAAATGGAAGGCAACTGTCCAGACAAACTTGGGCAGATTCCGTTTTACTGGTGACCAAAAGTCAGGCATTAATGGCGATTCTTTGCATTCACCTTCAAATGAGTCACAACAAAATGAGGCACAAAACATGTAATTCTTTTCTTCATCATATTTTTTTATAACAAATTTCTTTGTTTTTTCTTTTTTTTTTCCTTTTTTTTTTTAATTACATGTTGGCTTCCATTCTTTATCTTCATAACACGGTTGGCAATGATAATGTCAGTATTAACCATTTTCTTATAAGGAATCATTTAGAATTCATTGACTGAGCAGCCAGTACCACTGTCAGTTGAAATCTTCCTCTTAAAACAATTTCTCAGGAAAATAAGTTTCTCAAGTCCAGTAGCTTTTATTGCTCTTTCCAGTATTGATGGATGTTTGTTTATCTCTTCTTAACTATTTACTCTATCCACTGCTGTTATACCAAGGATTTGTGGGCAAGAGACAGACAAATGTTATTACCGGGCGTAATGCACATGATAACTTACTAATGGGGGAAAAAATAAAATTATAATATTATAAAAGGGTGGATGAGCCTTTTTGGAGGGCCAACAGCCATGTAGCATCTAGTGGGGTAGACTGGGCTCCATAGCTATGCATTCAGCCAGTGGTGAAATAGCATTGCTGGGTGGAGAACTTCCAAGACTGAAATCAATGACCAGCATAGTGTTCCCCCAAAGGAATCAGGACATGTGTCCATGATGAAAGTGAGCCTTCTGGACTTGAAGGACAAGTTTGACTTAGTGAGGGATAGTTTCCGCCAGGTCATCTTGCTCAAGACACACTACGCATGAATGAATATCTCTGCGACTTTCATCCCAGATATGTGGCAGGAACTGGTTGGATCCTTAGCTGTGCAACAAACCTACAACCATACCTGATCATGGGACTGATGATGATAAAGAGGTAATGATAATATTAACTGTTTCCTTATAAGGAAACATTTGGTATGCATCTATTGAACAGACAGTACTACTGTCAGATGAAATTTATAAAATCTTTCTCTTAAAACAATTTCTCAAGAAAATAGATTTCTGTGATGGACAATTATATAGAAGCGAGTCAGTGGCTTGCATTTGGTGCAAAGCAAAATAAGTTCCTTACCTCAATACATGACATGTAGCATTGGCATTTTGTTCCTTGAAAATAGCCTGAATCTCCCCTCCCTACTTTAGATTATTCCAAAAGTGTATATTCTGTAATGATGGCTTTTGTACAGCTTACCATCGTTCAACCAATAGCAAGTTGCATGCTGATTGGTCAGACTGGAGGATGCCATTTGACTGGGTAACTGAGGACAAAACAAAGAACGCTGATTGGTCAATCGGCCATGATATTGGTATGATAAAAGTGGGCTGAAGCAGTGAGAAGGAAAAACAATTTTTTTTATGTTGGTGACGTGTGTGGGAACTGAAGAATGGTGGATAGAAAAAGAAGTATTTAGTGTTGTACGAGTGACATCAGAGGAACACAAGCTCATTTACACTACAATTTCCCAAGTCCAGTAGCAGTTATCACTATTTTTTTTTCCAGTATTGTTTGGTGAATGAGATTCCTACCTAACCTTTTCTTTGGAGTTATGTGGAACATCAACCTTTTTGATTCTGTCATTATTTTCTCTTTGAGATATATTTGATATCCATTTTAGTTGTTGTGGCTGTTGAAAGTCCTCAACTGATGTGGTTTCTGTTATTTGGTAGAATTCTTTCTTTCTTTCTTTGTGATTCTGTAGCACCAGTCAACAAGGTTCAAAGAAGTGTGGTCTTTACGAAGGTCTACAGGCTTGACTTACCCAAAGCCATTTTTTACCATTTATCTGGTTAAGCAACATTTAAGACCAGCCACATCTTTTCCATTACACAAAGAAACCACATGATTTTAATTTTTTTCACAAGTTTGCGTCTTCATAATTAATTTTTAACCATTCTTTTTAACTTTTTTTTTTTTTTTTGTCACAATTTTTTGCCTTATTTGACTTTCTGAATGTGAAAGTAGATAACAAATTTAGAATAAATAAAATCTGTATTTGATTGTATTATGTTGGTGCATAATTATCAGGCGTTTTTCAACAATATTTATTATGAAAAAAAGAAACATAACAATTCAGCAATAACATTTTTAAATGATTATTCTGGAGTGTATGATTATTGACATGCATTTTTATAACCTGAAAATAAAATAATATTTTTATTAAGAAAAAGTAAACGGAACAGCTACAAAAACGCCTGATAATTATGCACCAACCCAATAGATCTCAATATTTACCAAAGTGTTTTTAATGTGTTTACAGGTAAACATTTAATATTCTTGAAACCTGTATAAACAAATAAATACTTGGCTAGAAGAAAAAAATGACATTTTTAATAATCATAATACAGGTTGAACATCACTAAACAGGCACCACAAGAACCGGAGGTTGTCGGATAAGTAATTTTGCAAGATTACTGATTAAAAAACACTTAGACCAACATCTAACCACTTCATCTTACCTTTAAAGTATCTTGTAAATCAGTACACGCTGATTTATAATGGAAAAATAGAAATTATGAACAATATATGGTGTTTTTTATTTCACACCATAAGAAGCACTTCTTTTATTCACTGGGGGCATGACTGGAACTGAATGACAGTATGCTGTAATAAAAATACACTGTTTTTAAACACTTTTAAACACTGGTAAAGCATTTCTACATGTAGAAATATCTCGTCAATCTTGTTTATAGATGAGGCAACATTTAGAAGATTTGGAATAACAAATTTACACAACCAACATTTGTGGGCGGATCAGAATCCCCATGGTACAATACAGGCTAGACACCAGTATCAGTTTATGATTAATGTGTGGACTGGAATTGTAGGTGACTGTCTGGTAGGTCCATATGTTCTCCCAGCACGTCTTACAGGAGCTGTCTACAGGGACTTTACTTTGAACAGACTCTAAGACCTGCTAGAGGATGTATCGCTGCTAACATGAAGACATATGGTTCATGCATGGTAGAACTCCAGCACTTTTTAGTCACATTGTTTGCAATACACTGACTAACGTCTACCATGAAAGATGGATTGGTAGAGAAGGACTGGTTCCATGGCCTGCACATTCTCTCGACCCAGTCCTTTGGATTTTTATCTGTGGGGTCACCTAAAACAATTTTATTTTATTTTTGGAGGAGTTTTTAATAAATAAAATTACATTTTGATGACAGGTAACTAAAATGAAAAAAATAAATTCAGCAATTTCAAAATGAAAACTCCTTCCAATCAATTTAAATTAATTTTGAAAAACAGTGAAGTATTTTGCTTATTGAAAATATTAAACTTAATCTATGAGCTTGAAATTAAAACTAAAATAAAAGCTTCAAGAAAGATTTTTCATTTTTAAAACTTCATGTTAAACCTTAGGTATTGTGAATTTCTGAAGGTACATATATATTTGTTGAATATGGCAAGACAAGGAAAATTTGATAAATTCCAATCATGTTCCTTTCACAGGAGGTCAGAATAAATGCTGTTATCATGCAATATGCATTTATGTTTTCAAACATAAACATGAAAAGAAACAACAAAAAAAAATCTGTGATAATGGCTAAAGAATATGGTGAAAGGGCTTGCTTGGGATAATAGACATTATGGACAATTTTTACACTCCCTTAACCCCCCCCTATATAAAAAATTCTAACCAAATGGCCTGACATCAGAATTTATTTTAGAATCTCTTTTTGGTGAGTTTGAGAAGTTTTCATCATTCTCTTGTAATAATGATGAGGATTCTACCATATTTCTCTTTGTGAAATTCTGTCTTTATATGCAAAATATCTATTTGACAGAGACAACAGAAATGGTAATTCTGTTTTAAGGCTTTTTAATTTCACTGATAAACAAAGATGGAATCAAGATGAGAGCTTTTACAGATGGCCATTCTCCCTTTCAAGGACTTTTGGTGTGATTGGCTGGGTGAGTATCTTTATTTAAACTGTTGGTCTTTGATTATTCAGCTCTTTTTATAAGGTTATCTTTTTAGAAATGGTGTGTCTTTTAGATCTGATTTTAATGTATGTCTAAAGTTTAAGATGCATTTTTGGAGTATTTGTGGGTTTTATTTTATTGGTGGTTACAGAAAATGACAAACCTGAATTTATCAGAATGTTTGTGAATAAATTCTTGCATGTTATTGGATGTTACTTTTAATGGCATGAATGTGATTTTTCTATTGACTAAATTATGGAATATTTTCACCTTGTCTCTACAAGTTGACTCTTCCAATGTTGTATAAATAAACTAGGTTTTGCTGTCTGGTAGGCTTTTTTTGATATTGTCAGGGGAATCTAGATGGTGCGATGGGTAAATTGTTGGCATTTTATATCTTTAATTTCATGCATGTGCATTGTTTTTGATTTTGTTGACTGCACATTATAGTAGGGTCAGTTGGGTTCCATCTGTGGAAAAAAATGCCCCGTCATGGAAATTACTCCACCAGAAATTGGAAACAGATGCTGTACTGTTTGACATTTGCACCAGAAGCTCCAATACAAACAGTTTTTTTGGAGTGCAAAGGATTTAGAAAGAGTTGGATGAGTCTAATGGTGATCACAAAGGTACGGCTGCTTGGAAAACTCACTCTGATTGTTCTGATGAGAAAAGAACTCCAAAATTTGTTAGTAATGGCCTCAGACTCAACACATCAAGTGTCTTGGGGAGGTAGTGCTACCTTGAGTCAAGCGGGTGGCTGCTCTCTGGCAACAGGACTCTGCACCATGCCACACAAACAGGAGAACCCAGTCATAGCTGTCAGGCAATTTCTGCAACCGCATCACACCTTAAATCTGGCCACCTAACTCTCCAGACTGCAACCCCCTTGATTATTATGTGTGGGATGCAATTGAGTGAGAAACCAACAAAACTCCTTGTAACACCAAAGATGAACTGAAGGCAATGATTATGGCAGCATTCAGCAAATTAAACAAGGAGACAAAAGAAATGCAAGAGATTCCAAAGTTGTCTGGAGGCCATAGCTGATGCCAATGGCATATATATTAAATAAATTTATTTTAAGACATTTTTTATGTTTATACATTCTTTTTATAGGTACAAATATTTAAGTAAATGCTCTGTTTATAATAAACAGTATTAATGACATTTACCGGCGTGACTGTCTGAGAAATTTCCATAAAAAATATGCATCTGCTGACAGGAATTGAACCTGTATCCTATAAGGAACTGTCATACAGTCTGATGCGCCTTAACCGATTAAGCCACAGAGGAGCGTTCAGTTAGCAAGGTCGATTTTACTGTTTTTTCATAATGTGTGACGTCATTTGTTTACATTTGGATACACATGTATGAGAGAAAATCATGGAGAATTGTAGTTTATAAAATGTCTTAAAAAATAATTGTCAGACTTTTTCCATTTCATAAATAAATTTACTCTAAGACATTCTTGTGTAATTTTGGTAAATATATTTGTTAAAATTTGATGTCAGTGTTATTTTCATTTTTGCATCATTTAGATGACAATTTATCCATCGCACCCTGTATATTGGTTGTTACTTTTTCATTGGTATCTTTTTATAAATATTTTAATGATGGTAAAAAAATAAAAAAAAAAAACAAGAAGCTAATTTTTGTTGAAACATTGAAGCATTTTTGTTGAAACCTTATGAGGAAATTTTCCTTTGATAGTAAAATAATTTTATTGAAAAAGTAAAACAGTTTTTGCAAAAAAGAAAGATTTATTATAACTTTAAGGCAAAACCATTTGCGTTGAAACATTTTGAAATGCTTAAATATGGATAAATAGCTGGACAGATTAGGTGCTATAGCCTTGATTGACAACCAGTCTTAGAGAAGGAAAAACAGCTTTGAAAGGATTGATAAAGAGCTGATAAGCTTCTTATAGGAGGCAACAGCTAACATGTAGCTAGGAAAAGTAAAATATCTATTAAAAAAGTCTGTGATTGTAGTAGCAGCTGACATGGTCATCAGTGCACAAGTAAAGAACTTGGTGCTATGATAGAGAGAGGCTGCATTTAAACAATTCACTTGTACAGGTTCAGTTAAAAATTAGAATTTACTAAAACCTTGTCTGTCATTCTTGATGAGAAAATCTATCCATCCATTATATATAATAGCATCATCGACATGCGAAAAAAAGGCTAAAAATAATGGAAGCCTTATTAAAAAAATAAAAAAAAACACACTCAATAATATCAACTATGAACATAGACATAATATCTTGACCATATTTTGAAAATGAAAACATATAAATACATGTATACAACAATCTATTTCTTGTTAACAGTTAATATATTTCAACCTTGAAAATGGCTAAATGTTTAGCTGAAAGTGTTTGCATAAAAAGAACAATTAGTTTTTATATAATTTATCATCAAAAAAGAAAAAAAATTAGTAGATCACATGAGAAATTGTATAAAAAAAACTAAATCAAATCACCTTGTCTGTAGTGTTCAATGAAATGTGCATATATATATATATATATATATATATATATATGTGTGTGTGTCTGTGCATATGCAATTCCATTTTTTTATTTTTTTCTTTGGTCCTAATTTTTTGTATTTGGAATAAAATTTATTAGATTAGGTTATGAGTTTTAATTTAGTGTTTTTAGTTATACAGTTTGAGAATAGGTTGTCCAAAATTCTTCAGACTAGAAGTGCTTTGGCTTTAAGATTTTGGGGGATTTTATAATACAGGCTTTTCAATTTGTATATAACATCTATAAAATAGGACAGCTTGGGAATGGAACCCAAGAATAAACACAATATCCCATTATATTTTATAACACAGCTTATACATATATCCTGAAAGTGGTTTTCATATAAATAACATATACCCTGAAAGTAGTTTTATATAAAATTTATTAAATTTTGTGTCCATACAGAGACACATAATGTCGCTAGTCATGTAATGCTCACATGAATTTTTAACTGGTGAAATTTAGATTTCAAGTCAAAATAATGTTTTTTACTTTCTATACATGTACAAAAAATATGATCATTGCTTACACAAAATATATAAATGCAGGACTTTTTGACATTTGAAATAATATCTTTACTAGGCATATTGAGAACTTTAACCCAGAAATATAGAATACCTTTTAAGGTACTTTATTTTATCATATAAATTTATAAATATAATTAAAAAAAATGAAACAGTTCTTGTCAGTTCTTTTTAACCAAACTAGTTTGGATGAATACTTGTTGCCTAAATATACCTTATTTCAATTCTATGGTAAGTATACCACAAACAAAGGTGTTGTCATAGAAATCGTAGCTCGGCTGGGGAACTCCCACCCCTGGCAGATGAGGTCACTTACAACTGCTGCACATAAACTTTTGGATTTTGGAGGTTTTCAGATAAAGGATCAATCAGTTATGTGCCATGCATGATACACGCTTAGGCGATCATCTAGCTTTTGATACATGACTGATGATGCAGATTTTTTCCTGCAGTAGACCAGTTGCTATCTCCAAGACTATAGAATCCAATCTGTCCTGCTATTTATCCATAGCTGGGGCAGGGGAGAAGAGGATTCATACCTTTCCCAAGGGTATTAGCACGTAAGTGAATGTAATAGATTCGAGTGGAATTTGAACTTGGTTCTCCAATTCCTCAATCTGAGCCACTATCCATTACTCCACTGGGTGATAAAAGATGCTCAACCTGTAATATATTTGTAGGTAATGCAGTAGGAATTACAATAGATAATCCAATGGTTGAAAAGTTCTATATTGGCAGTACTAAGAATTCTTTCACAATTAGGTGGTATCAATATATATTGTCCTTTACTAATAATACTTATAGAAATAATAAATCACTTTCTAAATATTTTTGAGTTTGAAAGATGATAATAAAGCTCCTAAGGTGAAATAGAAAATTTTAAAAATGGCAAGGACATGTAGATCCTTATATGAACCTTGTTTTCTGTGTTTATATGAAAAATTGCAAATTATCAGGTTCTTTGATAAGAATGCTTCATTAAAACAAAGATCTGAGTTAACAGTAAATTGTAAACACAGTCTACCTTTTACCTTACTATTCAGTTAGACTTGCAATTTGACATTGCTTTTTCTTAGATTTTAGTTGAACTGTGTTGCACCATATATGGCTTATCTTTCAGTTGATAAGATTAATTTGGATTTAATATAATTTTGTATTAATCTCTTGGTAGTGTTAGTAACATCTTGTATGGATGTATTGGTATTTGGTTGGTATTTTGACATTTTGCATTGATTGGTTATTGTTATTAATACCTTATATAAAGAATCTTTAGTCAACAGTTTCATATTAATTTACCAAAAAAGTCTATATGTTTAAATTATTTACTGATTTCTTAAAGAAGCTATTTATTTATCAACTGTAAAAATGCTTTTTATATATAGTAAGCTCAAAAAGCATATAACTTGTCTAGCATTTAGTTAGATTACCACTTCATTTTTTTCTTAGGAAATGACATTACCTAATGTACAATATGTATCCATTTAGATCTGCCCCTGTTTAATGTTTGTTGTTGCCATTGATTTAAAATCTACGGGTCATGACCCATTTATGTGAAATAATTTTTGCTTCTTCCTTTAGTTTAAATGTAATGTAGGTCATATTTGATTGGTTGATCTGAGTAAAGCCCACAAATCTTATACCCCATTTTTTCCTAAAAAGAGGCTGCATTTTGCTTTTAAATCTGAATAATTTGTTCACTTGCCAGTAATTTACAATTGCCTGATGAGATGCATTGATGCACATTGAAACATGACTGCAATTGTGTTGCAATTTTGACGTTTTTCAAAGTAATATCCTAAAATAAAGAATATGGCTCTACTTTGTATTGAGCCCACTTTTAAATTAAATGTTACAAAGTTGGAATTGTACTCTATTCATTCTCATCTTACCTGGATGGATATGTTTGTGTGTGTGGAATCAATGCAGGCTTTTATTGATACTTTATAATTAGTTTTTAACTTAGAAATATGAATTTAATAAATTTGTTCTAATGTGGAATCTCTAACCTTTTCAGGGAACAGTAGTGGCTTTTGGGTTGCAGTTCAACAAATATCACTTGAATTGGAGGACTGATTCAAACAATTTAGAGATTTCATGGCTCAAATATATTACTTACGCACTGCCTCTCAGCAGAACCTCCATTTTGGATTTTGATAAGAAACCTTCCCACAAGTCATTTAATGAATTCAAGGTAAGCATTAATAGATGTGATCATAGTCCACAAGAATTTGGTATAGTGCCATCCATTCTTATTTATGGTTTTGTTAACCAGCGATGAATCCCAGAAATAAATAATAATAATAGTGATGCTGGCAATTCTGATATGTTGATGATGGTTGTCAGGAAATTTATTCTCTGTATCTTTAGTCTGAACATTTAGTTTATTAAATATTCCCATATATGAGATAATGATATATATCAAAATGCATTAATTGCTGTAACAAGACTAACCAAAAATTTGACATTAAAAATGCTATTCTAATCAAAGGAGAAAACAATTCACTATGACAAAAATGTTACGAATATATATATATATATATATATATATATATATTTTTTTCTGATCGTGTTTAAAATAGAATATATAATCAAAAGTACAAAGATTCATTATGTAAAGGCACATGCACATTTCTTTCTGTTTTTGGATCTGATGAAGCCTAGAAAGGTGAAACATGTAATTAAATCTAGTTTCAATGAAACGTATTCCATTTGTCAAACTTAAAAACTTTGTCGAGATATCCTATTTTAAACACACACACATACACATATATATATATATATATATATATATATGTATATGACAAACAGGAAAGTATTTTTGTGACGCATTTCATCTGTTAGTATTTCATCAGATAAAACACATCACAAAAAACTTTCCAGTTTGTCATATTTTCAATATATATATATATATATATATATATATATATATATATATATATGTATATATATATGTATGTGTGTATGTATAGTGTGTTTGTTATTTATGTCCATTTAGTAGAATATTCAATGGAAGGTTTGCGATGGTACTAATGAAGCTTAATCTTAAGGACCCCTAATCCCAGAGGGGCCAGTGACGCAACTTCTTGTTAATGAGTGAATTCTTTTTTGTTTTTTCTTCTTTTTTTTTTGGTAGGGTAATTTTTAAAACGTTATTAAAGTAAGGCCATTTTAATGATAGAATCATAAGCAACTGGGTTGAAAGAGTTAATGTTGGCTTTAGAATATGCTTTAATACCCATTTCATATAGCCTCAATATTTCCCTGTAATTCTTCAAATTTTAAAGTTTTCTTGGGGATTTTGCAGTGCCTGAACCCCCAACACTATGAACTTGCCAGAATATTCATTTTGGCAGTTGAATCTTTGAATCTCTTTTTGCTGACTGCAAGGAGGCCGCCATCATTTACACTTTTTAATGATATTATTGGAATTGTTGGCAAAATATCAGCTAATTGCCAATCAATTCAAACTTAATAAAATGGTAAATAATTTCCTTAGAGTTGGTCTACATATTTTAACAATTTGGAAAATGTTTATAAATTTCCGAAATGAAAAATTGTTTTCATTTTTATTTCTTTATAAATTGGTAAATGATAAATATTGCATTACATTAGTTTTAATCGTATTAGTTTTTAGAATGTTGTAAATATAAAATTATTCTATAAACACT